GAAACCCCAAAAGGGCGTTTAAAACTTGGGGGGGGGGGGGGTCTCACCTCAACCACCACCAGTGTGCAGCATCCACTTGGATGATGACCAATGAAGAGGTAACAATGACTGTCAAGCTTTGGGGTGTTGATCCCCTCCATCTACGTTTTGATTATCATTCTGAATCCAATTAATAGTCTTTTTTCAGCTTTTTGTTCAAAATGTTGTTCGTTTCTTTATTTTTTTATTTATAAAACTTACCCATAGTGTTTATAAAAAAAGAATACATGAAGCTAGAATAAAATGTTTTTGTTTACAAGCAGATACCCTGTTCTTTTGATGTTTTGTATGTTCAGATATTCATATAACAAAATATATACAAATTAATACCTAAATAGGGACATAGTGTAAAGTATGATGTAAAATTCACTTAAAGAAAACTTACGAGTATACTTGCAGTATAAAACTACTAAACTAGTAGTTTACTGAGACTATACTTCAATGCTACAAGTATTTAATTTGTAAACTATCAGTATACCTATAAGTTCACTTTTAGTATAGTTACAGTACAAACTATAAACATAAGATGTAAACTAGTTGTGTACTCAAAGTTTACTACTGTTATACTTAAAGTATACTTTTATATACTAGAAAGTGGGCCAATTTAGTCCCAAGGAGTATTGAAATAGTACACTTACAAGTATACTACTAGTACACTGATATTTGTATATTTACTACGTGAAGTATACTTAAAACATACTTGAACTTTACTTAAGTATACTTAAAATAAACTTGAAGTATACTTCTTTTGGGTAAGGGTACCTACTTGGCTGTTGTTAAAGTCCTTCCCTGCTTCGCGGTGATAAGCTACTGCAGTGAAGATGAAAAGGTAGATAACATAAACGATAAAGTTGAACAAGAACATCCGTTTCGCAAATCTCTCCCACTTCTCTTCAATTAGTTGGTTAAATGGTTCAATATGGAGCATCTCGAGGCGATTCTGAAATCAGATCACATAACATGTTGCTATCAACTGTTTTCAAATGAAACATTTAGCTTCAATGGAGTAGTAAAGTCTAATAATACATTTTAGATTCTAGAATGAATTAGTATCACATTAGTAGCATGTCATCTCACAGGAATCTCACTGCCATAAACGATTATCTCCAGCGCAGAGTTCTTGTCGTAGGTGTCGAGAGAGGCGAGGTCATACAGAGACGAGCACACTGGACCGTAGGCCCACTCCGTGATCTTCCGTGACAGATGTCGGCGCCCCTTAAACTCCCGCTGCACGATGTGCTTTAACAGCTAGTTGACAAATGACAATGAAATCTGAAGGCACTTTACAAAATATACTAATTACAAATGATTGACAAACGTTCCGTTTAGTCCCTTGTCTTTGGCAATGCACTGATTTTAGTAATCAGATGACGGTCACTGTACACTACATGACTTATGAAAAATTGTACACTGTTAAGGTGGCACAGTAGTGCTTCTGAAGTAATGTGTGTGTCTTTATACAGACTCTTTTAAAGCTGCTCAGAGGTGGCAGAAATGCAGCGATTACAACTGTATACCTTAATACTAGGAGCTGATGTGGGTCTTAGCTGGCATAATTTAGTCAGGCTTTTATGCAACATTGTGTCTTAACACTGAATTTTGAGCAGGCACAGAGAAGCCTTAACTCAGCTGTGTAAAGATGCCCTATGATGAATCAGTGTGGTGTTTGATTTAATGCCATGTGCTGAAGGGAAATAACATCACATGAGGACTAATCATACACAAAATCAGGAACATCCAAAAACAGAAAACAGAACTGACACTTAAGAAATACACACTGCTTCAAACGAATCACTGCTATTTTGCAAAACATGAATTGTTTGGACATTCAACAATCAGTAAACACCAGAAAAATTAAGGTTTAGGCCTACCCCCAGTTTTCCTGTTTTGGCGGCTAGTGTGAGTGGGGTGAGTCCTTCATTATTTTCAATATCCTCCAGCTTGATCTTGGGGTGAAGGTGGTCAGTTTTGAATAAGATGTGGTCATACATGGCGATGACAAACTCTGTGTTTTCAGGACTGTTATCAGCTATGGACACTAATGCGTGAAGCACTGTGTTTCCATGAGAGTCCTTCTCCCTGACATCCACCGCCTGGTAAGGGTTGTTCATAAGGAAGTCCACAATGTCTGGCTGATTAGTGCAAGCGGCCAGTGACAAGGGCAGCTCACCTGTGCACAAAATTTGTAAACTGCAGGTAAGCCCAGGACGCCACAAAAATGGGTAAGTAACATTAAGTAGATTTTGAAAATGACTTGCATTTAAAATGCAGCATTTCTACTGTATAAATTATATCAATATTGCAAAAGTTTAACCATACCCTTAGACCTACCAAAATAGAAGCATGTTTCTTGATTGGGCTGAAAGAATTTCCCACAGGCTTTTGCATGGACATCAGCCCCTTTTTTAACCAGCATCTGTACAAATTTTGCACTTCTCCGTTCAGTTGCAACATGTAGTGCTGTCTGACCTGTCTCAAAGAGATCAGTCGATAACATTGTAAAATGGGTAGGTTGGACAACCTGTTAAATATGATCAATATTGTTGATTTATAAAAAAAGAAAGGACTAATATAAGGTTTTAGCTCATATATATACTTCTGATAATAATTGCGCTAATAAAAACATTATGTAATATGAAGCTATGGCTTTGACCTTTGTAGAAACTGTCTGTGTAAGCAGCATTGACAAAATGTTTTAAATCTCCCAGTTTCTCTGCAATTTCCAGCAGATGTTCAATAGTGTCATTCTCGCCTTCCCTCAAATTTAAAAGTGCTTTCAGCAGGGCTGTCTTTCCATTGGACTTATCTAAAGATGATATAAAAACAGAGGTTTCATTATTTAATAAATATCTGTCATTAATTCACAGTACTCTTCTGTGTATTCTTTGTACACTATACCAATCAAAAGTTTGGGGTCAGTAAGATGTTTTTTTTCAAATAAATCAATACTTTTATTCAGCAAGAACACATTAAATTGATCAAAAGTCACAGTTTTCACAATTTGCACAGTGAGCACTAAATAAGCATATTAGAATTAGAAAATTCAGCTTTGCCATCACAGGAATAAATTAAATTTTAAAATAGAAGTTTTTTATTGAATTTTAAATTGTAATGTTTCACAATATTACTGTTTTTACTGTATTTTTGATCAAATAAATGCAGCCTTGGTGAACATAGCAGACTTCTTTCAAAAATCTTACCAACCCCAAACATTTAAACGGTAGTGTATTTGTTGTTGAATACAATTACATTGAGAGTCGGTGAGCCGTTTCATGTTTTTGTGCAGGTACTGATGTAAACCCTGCAGTTTAGACACATCGCCACTGGACACGGCATCAAACAGCCTCTTGAGGGTAAACCTCTCACTGTCCTGCTGAGCTGGTTCCTCTTTTACTTTTCTGATTCCCCTGTGTGCAGAATGTATCTGATAAAGAAAGGATTTCTCAAATTGTGTTAATCATACACACCAGTGTGATTTAATGAGGCCGGCTTACCTGTCAAAGTGTAGGTTCAATTTAATTGTGTGTGCAGGCTCATCGGTCTCATCCAGGTAATTAGAATCCATGGGCCTCTTGTCCTTTGAGGCACCTTTCTTCATCTGTTTGGCCTTTTCCCTTTGCTCCTGTGTCAGGTCATCTTTCTCCAGGAAGAATGTGGGGCTGCTGTCTCTTGATTTACTCATAGTGATGTCTTCTTAGTCATACAGCAGAAATTAAAGCTGTAGTGATATCATTCACAGATACAGGACATTAGGATTCTATTTCAGACCATTTCAGATAAGCTCTAGGAAATGTGAGCCTGACCACAACTGCCGATTTTACATTTATAAGCAAATGGGACATTCTTACACTAACTAGCTTTAAAATGAGGAATTGTGCTTAGTGATAATTACTAATGTTTCTAACTTTGTGACCAGTCAAATTGATTTTTGATATAATGTAGAATAAGAGCTGCTTTTGTAAGAGTAGAAGCTGCTTGATTGTTATAATGGATCATCACATTTCAACATTCTAGTTTTAAACACCACTAAAAGAGGAAGGGGTCATAAATTATCCAAATGGAAACTCTTTGACAGTTTGTCACGTTACCCTGCTGCGGGAAGAACGTAGGAGACAGGGAGTAGCATTCACAGTCTTTAATGACAAAAACACGGGATAATCCACAATAGGAGCTGGGCAAACACACGTAGAAACAAGTAGACCTGACAAACACAAGCTGAACAGACTAGGACTTTTAAACACAGGGCAATCAGGGGAACACAGGTGATATCAATGGAACATAATCAAACTAGACGAGGACAGGAACATGACCAAATAAGGAAACACAGGAAGGACTACGGGGGCAAAACAGGTCCAAAAGTCTGACATTTCACCCCCTCCCCGAAGGTGCGTCCTCACACCATAACAACAACAAAAGAGGGAGGCATAGGTGGGAGCTTGGGAGGAGGCTCAGGAGGAGGACGGACACCCGGGAGGGGGCCGGCAGACAGAGACCAGGGAGGCGACAAAGGAGGGAGGAGACAGGAGGGGCTTGGACCAGGATGAGCCCAGCTGGACCCAGGCCACAGCCATAATGTCGACCCACAGTGGAGCCGACGGAGGGAGGAGCCATGGAGGAGAAACGGCCACTGACTCCAGGGGGCCGACCAACGGCGGCAGAGCAGGTAGCGGAGGAGCCTGAGGTGGAGATGGAAAGCCAAAGAGCCAGGGGGATGCCAAGGATCCGGGGGGCCAGGGTGGTGTCGAGGGCTCGGCGACCAAGGCGGAGATCTGCGGCGGAGCCAGAGTGACTGAGGACCAAGGTGGAGCTGGCGGGAGGAAGGAGCCCAATTGAGCCGGTGGGACGTAGCAACGAGGTGCAGCCGGAGGAGCGGAGTCCTGAGTCGATGGCGGGTCGACGCCCGACCAAGGCGGAGCTGGAGGGACGAGGAAGCCCGGTGGAGCTGGTGGATCGATGGGTGACAGTGGAGGCGAGAGAGCTAGGGGCCGAGGCGGAGTCCAGGCCTCGGAGGCTGGAGGCGGAGGTGAGGGATTCTCCAGCCATGGCGACGCTGGAGGATGGCAGACCCGCGGAGCTCGCACTGTAATGATGGTGGGCTGAGGGCGAGCAGAGGGGCTGCCAGACGACAGCGGTGGAGGAAGCAGGAGCGGGTGGGAGGGCGGGCATTTGTGAGTCTCCGGCATTCAGGGCTAAACTCTGGTTTGGGAGCCCCCTCTAGGCTGAACACGGGAACAGGATGGCGCTCTGGAGGAGCAGACACTTGAGGGCGCTTTCGAGGAGTGGGCACTGGAGGGCGCTCTGGACTGGATTCGGGGACTGGAGCCCTCTCCTCTTCGGTGGGGCACATTCGCCGCGCCATACTCAGCTCACCCTCAGCCGCGGTGCAGGGGGCGGAGCTCCTCTCCGTGCTCACACCGTCCGTGGCTTTCTCCCTTGTGGCGGACATTGTCGCCAGCTCTCGCACCTGGTCTGACGGGTTCGGCTCTATCTCCTGGGCGATCCTCCGCTCAGTCGCTCGGCTTTGCGCTGGCTCATTGATCGCGGCGGGATTAGGCTCTCCGTCATCGGTGGGCTCAGGCTGATGCGCCGCACCGCGGGCAGATGGGGGTCGGGAGTGGATCTGTGTCTCGCCAGTATCCACTCCACAAAGACAGCGAAGTCCTCTCGACAGCACTCTGCATGCGATTTTTAGACTCGCATCATAGAACGCACAGAGTGCGTCTTCCGGGTAGCTGGTGGTGTTTGCTAAGAGCAGGAACAGTCTCGTGTGGTCCTCGAGAAATCGCTCCCCCTGCTCCAGCAGGAGGAGGAGGTACTCTGGGCAAAGAAGGGCATCCATAGAAGAAACACAATGGAAACAAAAACACTGAGAGATAAACAAGAAAACAAATGGAGGAGAAAACACGGAGGTAACTGTTTTTGGGTCTGGTCTTCTGTCACGTTACGCTGCTGCGGGTAGAACGTAGGAGACACGGCGTAGCATTCACAGTCTTTAATGACGAAAACATGGGATAACTCACAATAGGAGCTGGGCAAACACACGTAGAAACAAGTAGACCTGACAAACACAAGCTGAACAGACTAGGACTTTTAAACACAGGGCAATCAGGGGAACACAGGTGACATCAATGGATCATAATCAAACTAGCCGAGGACAGGAACATGACCAAATAAGGAAACACAGGAAGGACTACAGGTCCAAAAGTCTGACACAGTTGAAGTTGAACGAAAGGCAGAACTACCTCTACTGTTATATATGGCTTACGTTTATGTGTATCTCATTGCTAGAACTCTTCATAAAAACAGCTAGAATAATTATGGAGATGTGATGATATGCAGTTTTGATCATAAGACCACATAGGCCTATATAAACCATCTAATTGATATGTGGTTATCTTTGATACACAATAAATCCATTAGCAAAAACACGGATTCATTTACATGCCAAAAAAGGTTTTCAAAGATACAGAAGAAAGAGAAACAAACAAAAAAGTAAACAGTTTCAGTTTATATGTGCAAGTAGAGATGGTGCAGATAGTTGCAGACTCTAATAGACCCTTGCTAACTGAATTATTGATAACTCTTCATGCTGTTACATGCTATATGATCCCATCCAGGGAATATATGGAAATACATTTCAGGCAAAATGCAGTATCCGATGCATTTGGATGTTCTGTACTGTAGAATATTATAACTTAGCCTAAATGGCTTTATACACAATTACATTCTCTAAATGGCAGTGAGAGGAAATAGTAATCCTGCATTAAGAAACTACATTACACTGTCTTTGGGTAATCGTGTAGTGTAAGGTCAAAAATGGATAAATGTCCATAGAAACAATTAGTTACTAACACTCAGCTCTGTTTTGACAGGGTTCTATCTTGAGACATTTTACCATGCATCTCTCACAAAGCTGGTTTTGTATTTAAAAGACAGTTCTTTTTTAAATCAATCAATTTAGATTTTAATATTATAAGCTAATGTGACATTTTAATACCAGATAACATCACTAATTATGCTATATATCATTTCAGTGATAGTCCTTTCTGCTGAGACCATTTAAATTACACTTTGTTTATAAAATAATTCTATTAACAGCTAGCGCTGTGAGAATAAGAGCTAATGGATCATCTTAATGTGCCTTTTTGGTTCAAACACCAGTTAAAAGAGGAAGGGGTCAAAAACAATTCAGATGGAAACTCTGTGACAGTAAGTCAGGAAATACAAAATTAGTTTCGCTAGTTATATATATGATTTGAACATTTGAGCATATTTGTATCACACATTAAATAAGAACTCAAATGGCTGAAATCATTAGGGAAATGTAATTATGTGTAATAATAATATGTAGTCATGAGAGCATCCAGTCACATTTCCTCATTTAAGGCACAGACTGTAAACAATAGACAACCACAATAGACATGGAACATTATTCAGATTTGTCATAACAAGGATTAATGTTTAATGTGCATTTCAAAGTAAGTAAAGGGTGTCAAGGATGCTAGAGATATTTTTAAATCATGAAGAGAATTGAGCATATTCGATGCGTATGTGAAAGCAGACTCCTCGATGGGTGAGGCAGCACAGATTGTTAAAGAGTCTAACAGATATTTGATGGACAAATTATATGAGTTAATGTTGTTTTACGCTAGATGATGACCTAATGTGCAATTGCAAGATGCTGGATAGTCTTACTTAGTAAAATATTATGACATGGCCTCTCCATAAATGGGTTCAGATAATATTACAGCGGAAACTGTACATTACACAGACACCATCTTTAGATCATCTCACTTATTACATTATGAGATTTAGCACTTACACAGCATGTTTTGGGTTGAGCAAAAACAGTCACGAATGTTATTGTCAGTTTTAAGAAGCCAAACATTAAAACTGATCTGCAACAAAATGGACTGAAGTAGATCACAAAAACATCAACAAATTAAATAAACCAAAGGCATTTGGCAGCAAAAACCAACTTTACAGGTTTTAATATGATTTACTACACTAGCAAAATCTGAATTTTTTTAAATATTGCCCTAAATTATTTAATACGAAAGAGTAAAGTATGAAACATTTGTACTCACCAATTAATTTCTGTTTTTGTAGTATCCAGTATCGATGAGCTTGATTCCTTGAGCACAATAACTTGCTCTCTCTCTCAGTGTAAGAGAGGAAGATAGGACAAGATGTTTTGAGTTTGCTGAGAGCCTTACAGAAAGGCGGGTTGTATTGATTCTTTGAGTATGTTGTTACGTATGTTTTGCCATGTCCACGCCTGGTTGTTGCTCATTTATAATCATCCATATATACAATGCAGTAGAAGTCATCAAGCTCCTTCTTAAGATGCTTCATTCTCATCTAGCAACACTATATTCTACTACATATCTTAACTATCCAAATGATAAATTATTCATGTGCTGGAATGCATTTAATATCGAATAAGTCCTGAGCAGCACATGTCTGGTTTGAAGCAGCATTCCGGTCACCTACACTTATCTGTTGAGACTGTTCTGTTGAGCAATTTCACTTTCTTAGCGTGCAGAGTTTCCTGTATGACACTAGAGGACTGTGGCAGAGTAAAGCGATTTTGGTGCATAGATTACGTGAACAAAATAAAACCTTAGCATGCAGTCGATTCGCATGAAATGTGATGATAAATATATTCCAACTGTTTATTAACATTTAAAAATGCCACTGAACATTGTAAACAATATTTTGTCATTTCAAGGCTTTGTCCAGCCATTTAATGGAATTCAGAAATATTCTTTAAAAAATACATATTGTTTTGTATTTTACAACACAATGCACTCAAGTTACATAATGAACAACAGATAAATTTGACCCATGTTAGTCAAAAATAATGATTTTTTTAATTGATGAATGATACAGTATTAAAATATTTTTTAAATGAAATACACTTAATTACAAAGTGTGATTATAAATTTTAATACAAAAAATAGCTCTACCAGCATTGTAGGTCATCATACCTTACCATGGTAGGTCAGATGTCTCAGAGACAAACATGATCATAAGTGTTGTATTTTGGAGTTTTGGCAACTCCAACAGCTGAGTCAACATCTTTCCGTAGACTACATGAAATGTAAACACTCTCTCTGCTTCCTGTTGCAGAACTGTGTTACATGACAGAGCGCTGCCACTGCCAATAATACACCTCACTCCAGCGGCCTGCAGGCTCTGAGAGGACATAATAAGAGTAATTGTTTCTGTAAAAATGCGATATAGTTTAAAGGGTTTTCTGTCTTGCATTTTATCTCTCAAAATTATGGATGTCATTAAAAATGTGGAAATTAGCAGAAATAAGTCAATGCAACCTCTTATTCACATAAGGTTTATATTTTTATGTAGGCCTATGTAATTGTAGACCTACATAATTCACATTTTAAAACTGTATTGCATAGGCCTACATGTTGCTGCCATAATAATGACCCATTTCAAATGTGCTTTTCTTCTTTTTGCTCTTAACAGCTCCCACTTGCCTTGGTAGAGCAGTTATGAATTATTGTTCTTGTAAATACTTTCCAGCATTCCAGTATTTTTTCTTTTGAGTGCAACAGTTACCATACTGTGTTTAGCACCAACCCCCTCCTTTTTTAATTTGTTGAGACAGCCTTAGCAAGCTCATTCACTTCGCTACCATTGAGGTTAAATTAACGTGTGAATTATGAAGAAATATAACGACCGTAACAGCCAATAAAGTTTGTTAGAACTTTAAGTGATATTTATTACTGCACTTTAGTAGTGTAACAAAACACATATGTAGCCTACAGATTTCTTGTTCGAAACCACATAAGCTCACCAGGACACCACTACCACCTCATCCATTTGCAGCAATGAGGTCGGAGAAATAGATGAGTCCAATTCATTAGCAGCTTCCGATTAGATCTGCGCAGCGCTTATAATTTAATCAGAATCAGAGAAGCAGATGATTGGAAGACGGTTTTCTCACCACACGAGGGCACTATGAATACTTGGTTATGCCTAATGGCCTGCTGTGTTCCAATCCTTTATTAATGAGATCTTCTGTGACATTCTAAATCATTATCATTGCCTACATTGTGGACATTTTGATCTACCGGTGAGACCAAGACCAGTGAGCAACACATCCCTCATGTAAGAACTGTCCTGTCTCGATTACTGACTAACCATTTGTATGTCAAGGCAGAGAAATGTGAATTCCATGTCTCAAGCACAACCTTCCTGGGCTATAAGATCAGAGGGAGCCATCCCCTGAGTACTGCCTACTGCTGGTTCCTCTTGGTCACATTTGATTTAAAATATTTCGAAATTTCACAATTTTTTGTTGATTTACCAGATTCTTTCACACACAAGTCTGCTTATTATTTCACACAGCCAGTATATAGCTTAAAATGAAGCGGTCAGCATATCTTTGACTCTGGCCATGGGTTTAAACATCCAGAATACACAGTTCTGCTTTACAGTTTTGCAGTCCATTGAATTTTATTCAGAATGTATTTGTATATCACTTGACAATATAAATCATTCACAACAACTTTACAAGGCTTATACATCCATTAAGGAAAAAGCTGTGAATGCATATGAATGGAAGTCAATGGAACAAAAAGTCTAGTGACCACAGCTTAACTCCCTTGGTCTGGAGAACCATCTTAAGTGCCTGCAGTGGATGACTGGGTGTGGGATAGCGCTCGTGAGGCTGCAGAGGGCAGTCAGAGCTCAGAGAATCAAGGCTGACCTTGATAAGGGAGGCGTACTCATTCAAACTCACTCACCTGAGATCTGCGGTTATGGAAGCTCAACCCACGATATGTAGGACCATTTTGTATCTTATGACAAATAAATCCAGGAACCTACAAACTAGAGCTTTCTGCTCATTACCGTATCTCTCCTTCTTTTCATGTTTCCCTGCATCCGCCTCCACTATTGAGGAGAGGGAACTCTCTCCACAACTTGAGATTGATGGACCTCTAGCCTATCTGGTGAAGGATATCTTGGATTCCAGGTGTCATGGGGGCCAGTTGCAATACCTGGTGGACTGGGAGGGCTAAGATCTAGATGAGATCATAGGACTGCCAAGGACATCTTAGACCCATCTTTGATTCAGGATTTCCACCAGGCACATCCCAATCAACCTGCACCCCCAGACCAAGGGGACAGCCACAAAGAGGGATAGGATGGAGGTTTCTGTAACATCTGCGACCTCCATCCGTTCCTCCAACCACCAGAGGGAGCCATCCCCTGAGTACTGCCTACTGCTGGTTCCTCTTGGTCACATTTGATTTAAAATATTTCAAAATTTCACAATTTTTTGTTGATTTACCAGATTCTTTCACACACAAGTCTGCTTATTATTTCACACAGCCAGTATATAGCTTAAAATGAAGCGGTCAGCATATCTTTGACACTGGCCATGGGTTTAAACATCCAGAATACACAATTCTGCTTTACAGTTTTGCAGTCCATTGAATTTTATTCAGAATGTATTTGTATATCACTTGACAATATAAATCATTCACAACAACTTTACAAGGCTTATACATCCATTAAGGAAAAAGCTGTGTATGCATATGAATGGAAGTCAATGGAACAAAAAGTCTAGTGACCACAGCTTAACTATATTGAGTAAAACAACAATCATATCGAGTCTATATTGCCCTCGATGAAACAAAAAGCTATTCGAATTTTGCACGCTTGTACATTCCTTAATGTATGCCTGTAATGTTTATGTCTAATAATGTCTCCCCCCTAGCATTTGAAACATTTTGTATTGTAATTGTATTGACTGTGTGATATTCTGTTCTATCAAAAAAATAAAAATCTAGTGTGGATGTAAATTTTAGTTATACATAAGAGCACAGCAGGACATTTACAATCTAGGGTCACAGAATTTCAGCTCTGCAGTGAAGTATTAGCCAGAGGACATGACCCATCTATGATCTGCTGTTAAGCACAGTGGATTAATCGTGTCTGCAACTTAACTGCATCATCCTGTGATGCTTGTCAGATGTAGGCCTACTGTAGGTCTTTGTTATGCCACATCAATCACAAGCAGAACCATGCGAAACCACAATCCTGCTATATAGAAACATTTGAATGACTGAAGAGACATGGAATGAAATGATTTTTGAGTGTTGGAAAATAGGTAGGCTACTTGGGTAGGCCTACCTTTATGTTCCCTTTTAAGGGTTGATGTATTGAATAAATAATTAAACACAAATTTTAATATGGATATTTCCAAATATGTAAATCATATAAGTTTTGTTTTATCACAATTTAATAAACATTGGGGTTATGTATATTATTTTATATAAATACTTTCTTAACAACACATACATTCGTTTTAAAAATGTATATGATGCATAACAGGAATGACCATTGAGGTGTATTTGTTCTTTATATGAACCACAGTCAAGTTTTAACCAGACATAATATGTAATTATTCCTACACCAGTTGGAATGAAAGGGAACTGCAAAATAATTGCAATAGATTACGGATTATAAAAGCATCAGATGGAGCTAGAGGTCTCAGCTAGAGGACTCAGCTCCTGTACATCTCTGCGTTGTTGTCTCTGTGTCCAACGTTTACTGAACGTTTGCAGGAGTCCACGCTGGCTGGGCTCTGTAACCAATACACATGATATGATGTAGGATTAAAAAAAACAGACACACACACACCTTTATTTAACATCGACTACCTCTCTGAAGTTCAGTTGGGGAAGATACAGGCAGGCATTTTCCAGGGTCCTCGGTAATTACACCCAGGTTTCTGTTCCATTGGTTCCAGTTGACTTCCTCCACACTGAAAGAAAGAAGACACATGCTTCAATTATTGCTCATTGGTTTCACTTACTGTGTTTGAAAGTAAATGTATTTACTTTGGGCATACATAAAATGTATTGCCCATTTACAGATGGGAGACAAATGCAAACTTCAGATCTTGTGGTTTCGGGTGGAAGTCACCAGGGTCACCTGAAGCACCAGCGTTGATCAGGCTCCTGCCCCCCGCCTAGGTCCTTCTCTTGCCCAGAACGCAGCTTTATCTTCAGACATTGGGGAAGAATCCACTCCATGTCCAAGGTGGTGATTGCACGCTGTGAATAACAATCATATTTATTGCCTGATTGAACAACTAAAATTGCAAACCATTACATATGTTACGCAAACAGTTGCCCATTGTATCATTTCAAGTGATTACAGGAAAACAAGCCAAAATGAAATAGGAGTAACGAGGGTATTTTTAAAATGTAAGGAGTAGAAAGTACAGATAATTGTGTTAAAATGTAAGGAGTAGAAGTAAAAAGTTGGCTGAAAAAGAATTACTCCAGTAAAGTATAGATACCCAAAATTTCTACTTAAGTAAGGTAACGAAGTATTTGTACTTCGTTACTTGACACCTCTGCACCTGAAGCACCAGCGTTGATCAGGCTCCTGCCCCCCGCCTAGGTCCTTCTCTTGCCCAGAACGCAGCTTTATCTTCAGACATTGGGGAAGAATCCACTCCATGTCCAAGGTGGTGATTGCACGCTGTGAATAACAATCATATTTATTGCCTGATTGAACAACTAAAATTGAAAACCATTACATATGTTAC